TGAGTGCTTACCAAATGCCCAGAACCATACTATAAATGCTTTATCTCCCCCGCACAAAACTGATATGCCATATCTACTAATTTACATCAATTTTAGAGATCAGGAAATGGAGGCCTTACAAAGTTAAGTGTCTTGTCCAAGGTCATAGAGTTAAGATAAATCCAGGATTCAAACTTGGATATGAAAAGCTTAACCATTGAGCAATACTGATTTCAGGCCCTTCTTCCCCAGTTACTAGGTTTGTCCCTGGACATGGTATCTCATGAATACAGCACTGCTGAGTCATTTACTCTGTTTCACTGTCCTACTTTTAGGACATAAAATGGGAAGTGCGATTTTCAAGGAAGGAATAAGGAGCAGGAAAGAACAGGATAAAACCTTAAGGAGGAGAAGCAAGTTGATCATCTTGGGCTTTTTGAAGGGCCCTGTCTTCGTCCTTTTGGGCTGCTATCACATACTAGCAGGGACTGGGTGGCTTATAAACAACAGAAATTTATTTCTCACCATTCTGGAGGCTGGAAGTCTGACATCAGGGTGTCAGTATGGTCTGGTGAGGGCCCTCTTCCAGGATGCAAGCTTCTCATTATATCCTCATGTGGTGGAAGGAGAAAGCTAGCTCTCTGGGCCCCCTTTCATAAGGGTATTCATCCCATTCAGTAACGTTACACTCTGGTGACCTAATCACCTCCCAAACACTCCACTGACTAATACCATCATCTTAGTCATTAGATTTTCAACATATGAATTTGGAGGAACATAAATGTTCAGACTATAGAAGGCTCCATGTGGGAGTTCTCCAGCTTCCAGTGTAGTTGGAACATGTACCCTAGGATGAGGCCAAAAGGCCTCTTATATTGGAATTCCTTCATGATGGTTCATAGTTCATCCAAATACGCACTGGCTATCTGTATATTGATGGAATTGGGTGTGGTGTGGAGTGGGGGTGGCCAATGAAAAGGCAAATTAGCGGGAGGAACAATTCTAGTTGCTATGAAGCTGGGATTCCTGGGTTGAAAATAGTAGATCTGCTAAGTTTGATGAATAAAACTTAGCACTAGTGATGTAGGAATTCTACATATAAGTTGCATACATCTATACTTCTGTGGATGACAATCAATGGATAAGTGGCTGTGGAAGTGCAGAACTTGGATAACACACATCCAAACCAGGGGGCTAGATGGTAGAGACCCTTCGAACCAGTGACTGGTTTGAGAGGGGCAGTGGATAATGAGGGACTCAATGCAGAAACTGTAGTATACGCCCTTGGCAGGCAAAACCTACCTTTCTCTAGGAAAGCACCATGCCCAAATAGATGGTCTTGGGACATCTGGGGAATGGGAGAGGATTCAGTAGTGCTTCAGACTGTCTGGAGCAGGCTTTATGTCAGGCACAAGTATCCATGACGGACAACTACTTTGAATGGGCTTCAAAACAGTTGAGTCAGTAGACTGATATAGGCCTCTCTGTGCAGGACATAAAGTCATAAAGCATCTTTTCTCTGACTTTGCTATCAGCCACCCCTCAGCCACCATTCCCAGCTCATGGGGGTTGGTTGTAAACAGAGGAATTAATGTAGGAGTGAAAATAGTTCTGACCCTCATGTCACTCCAAGCTTTTTAGAATGACACAGAAGCCTTTTATGAACTGGTTTCAAATTCATTCTCAAATATGTAGATTCAGGAGACCAATCTTTACCATGGTGTGAATAAACTACTCTCATGATAACAATCATATAGTGGCATGACTTGAAAAACCAGTTAGAGATTCAAATTACATGGTTTAATAAAAGAAGAGCAGAGGGAGTAGTTTATATGGGAGAATTCTATTTTTAGATTTCATGAATTTAGGATTAATGGTACTTAATTATAAAAGGGAAGTTCAAATGCATCATATCCATTGTGTTCTCATTGAAATAATGTTAACTATTGAAAAGGATTGAGAGTAAGGATGTACTTTGTTGAACATATTCCAAAGCCTTTTACTGGGTTACCCAAAGTTCTTTATTATACTGAAATATAAGAAAAATTTAAATGACAATTCAAGAACAGTTACCAGTGTTTAAACCTCAAGGATATTATAACAAGCAAGGTATGTTCTCTCAACTTTTTTTTTTTTACTTTGTATTTTCATTCTTGTTCTTTTCAGAGTCATAATGTCCTGAGATAAATAAATGTCTTAAACATTTTTTGCAGTCAGGTACATGTGAGTTGCCCATGAAGTGAGAAATATCTATCCATTCATGTGAGAGTCTCATTTATATTATAGGATGGTCCACTCAGGACTTCCAGTAGTAATGTTTATGGATCAATATTAATGCGTATTTGGACCTTTGCACTTTGATTAGCTAGTTGTCTTTGAGTCTATGTGAGTCTAGAAGGAAAGAACGAAGCTATATAGTTAATTCAATAATTCAGTGTTACGGTTGGGACCTATTATATGTCTCTTACTGCTTCTTAAATCCCGTGATTTCTGGTTTAATGATAACACCTTCTTAAGAGCATTATAAACTGAGCAGCAATATTGATTTATTCATTTCTCTACTTTTTTTAATGCTCAACTGAACATTTTATTATCTGAGAAGTAAAGGTACTCACATGCATAATCACACATACATATTTATAAATATATATAGAATGTGTAGAAAACATCTGAGAAGATCCATACCAGACTGATACATAGTTGTCAAAACTAGGGCAAAATTGCCAAACTTGGAGGATCTGACCAGCAGGTTCTCTTCCAATATTGTGAAGGGGGTTAACTTTGAAATGAGCTTCAAAGGATGACCGAGAAATAGGAAGACGCATTGAATGACCAAGCAACAAATGATGTAATAAGGACCCAGAGGTGGTAAGTAGAGACACATTTGTGGGAAAATAACTTTTTTTTTTAATGAGGTGTGCTTTTTTTTTTTTAAAGATTTTATTTATTTATTTATTTATTTGAGAGAGCGAGAATGAGAGAGAGAGCACATGAGACGGGGGAGGATCAGAGGGAGAAGCAGACTCCCTGCTGAGCAGCAGGGAGCCCGATGCGGGACTCGATTCCGGGACTCCAGGATCATGACCTGAGCCGAAGGCAGTCGCTTAACCAACTGAGCCACCCAGGCGCCCCGGAAAATAACTTACTTCATCTGGCATTCCAGAAAGGGCAGTTAGGGCCAGATAAGGATGTTGGTGGGTTCCTTTTGCCCTATCCCTGTGTTTGTGGTGTAGATTGTTTTTTGGTCTAGGTTTAGGATTTTGGCAGTGGGATGTTGATGGTGAACTTTCGCTCAATAAATCATCTACCTGAGGGCACTTGGGAAAGATTTGGGAGTTTCTGTCAGGGAATATTGTTTTGGCTCATTTTCATTCTAAACTTGTGAAGCCTCTAGCACCTTCAGAGAGCATCATGGACGTGGTAGGATACTATTTCCCTTTCTGAAGTACCTCTTGTATTTCAGTTTATTCCATCCTTTGGGTTCATCCAGCCACTGTGGTGAAAGATTGACTTATAGGTACATCCTTCAGTCCTGAGCTTTTCACCTGGGGAAGTAGCAGGTTTTTTTCATTTGTTCAGATGCCATCCTCTAGCTAAGACACTTGCTCCTTGGAGATTATTTTGAGGTTCTCTCCTATGGTCCACAGGGTCATAGGTGAACATCAGGACACCCTTCACCTCTGGAAAGAAAAAAGGGCTCCTTATCAAATATTTCACATTTTTCTCCTTGCACGTCAAACTGTAAATATCAACAAGGTTTTTTAAAAATAATTTCATCCCTTTGTTTTCCAAATATCACCATTCTTTCAGAAAGTAAGTTACCTATCAATTGGCTTTTTTTTTCTTTCTCTTTTTGTCTCTGTACTTTTACATTTTATTTATTTATTTATTCATTTTTATTATGTTCAATTAGCCAACATATAGTACATCATTTTGTGTACTTTTACATTTAAATGTGTTTCTTAAAATTTATAGTATGATGTTGGGAATTTGCTTAATAGCCAAATAATATTATTTTAAACTTCAAAATATTTTCATTTTAATATTAATATTTTATTTTAATTTTTAAACTTTAAGATAAAATATTATTTTAGTAATTGCATGTATTTCTTCCATTCACTGTGGTTGTTTTCAGTCAAGAATTTTTACAAATTTATATATACTGTCAAGTTCCCTCAGGAATATACTATTCAGGTTATTTGCATCGGTGATTTTTGACAAAAGCATCGGTATATGTATGTATCTCCCTCTCCCAGTCTCTCTCTTTTTTTCCCCTTTGCCCACTGTACTGAACTCATTTTATGCACCAAGCCAATTGATGATAAACCATCAACTTGCTAAAGCAAATCTAGCAGGGTTTGTGCTACTAGTGGTTATGAAGCCAGGTTGCTGTTCCTCCTGTCACTGCCTCAGATTGAGGAGCTCACTCTGTCCATTGCTCCCAGTCTCTCAAATTACTCTTGGGTACAGCCTAAAAGTGCCTCACCTCCTGCCATATGTCTGTTTTTTTTAAAAAAAATTATAGCTATATAATTGACATATACCATTATGTTAGTTTCAGATGTACAGTATGATAATTTGATATATGCATATATTGCAATCTGACAGCACAATAAATCTAGTTGACATCTACCACCACATATGACTACAAATTGTTTTTCTTGTGATGCAAACTTTTAAGATTCACTGTCTTAGCAACATGCAAATATATAATATAGTATTATTGAACTATAATCACCATGTTGTCATTACATCCCCATGACTTATTTTATGACAGGGACTTTTTATCTCTCTTTTTCCCCCTCTCGCACACACAAACAACATTTTTAAAACTTAACTGTTGAAATGAGCTTGACCTTTTTTCCTGCCATTGGAAGACATTATAAATATTGTGAAAATAATTATATCACATCAATTTTGTAGATTTGTTTATCACACGATTGCTTAAATTATTAGAATTCAATCTCTTCCTCTTGGTGTTTTGGAAGTCTTTGCTTATATGACATCTTATGTTTTTTCAGGTGCAGAATGATCTTGAATTTTAACATAAAGTCAAGATACAAGCTCTATTTTACCCTAGCTTACAGCTAATTGATTCCTATGTGCCATTTCACCAAGAAAATGAGAATGGTATAGTTCTAACAAGGGACTTAGCCGTAAAACTCATCAGTTTATATTTCAACAAGAATGCAACATTTCTCCAGGCAATGAGAAGAAATGAACATAGGCCTCTGGAATCAAGACATCTGTTTAAGGTTGTTAACTGGAGTACTCTCTTACCCGAGAAGTTTAGAAAGGGTCATGTTTATACTGAACCAATTCTTGGAAGACACAATTATTCATTCCCAGCACTTATGGATATCAGAGCTTCACCCTTGTTAGCCAAAGATTCCTGGTTACAGAATTTGCCACCAACCTATATTCTTACTTGTCAATATGATATTTTGAAGGATGATGGACTTATGTATGTTTCAAGACTTCAAAATGTTGGAGTTCAAGTTACTCATGACCATATTGAGAATGGAATCCATGGAGCTTTATCATTCATGGCATCACCACTGTGTTTACATCTAGGTTTCAGGATAAGAGATATGTATATTAGTTGGCTGGAAAATGATTTATAAATATAGTATATGTAAAATATATATGGTCATCAGGCAATGGATTATAATTTGTGATATTTTGTAGTTGTAGTGCAAAGAACAATGTCATTTGTGTTATCTTTATCTAGATTTAAATCAGTTATAACAGTTACTGTATGTCCTCGAACTAGTTAATTTTTCTGATTCACAGAACCTGCAGGCGTAAAATGCATTTAATCCCTTTATTTATCGTTGATTATAATTATGTTGGTCCCGATAGGGACCGATCCCTATTAAAGTTGAGAAATAAGAATGGTTACTGGCAAATTAGAGAAGATAGTTTCCAGGCAGGCACAGAAATTGCAAGGGTGAGTGGGAAAAGGAAAAATAAAGCAAAAAAATTACAAGGTAATTGTATTTGTTTCCTGTGGCTGTTGTAGCATATTACTACAAATCTAGTGGCTTAACACAACAGAAATATTTTCTCTCAGGAGTTCTGGGGGTCACAAAATCAAGGTGTTGGCAAGAGCCACACTCCCTGTGGAGGCTCTAGATGGAGCTCTTTGCCTCTTTCATCTGATGGCTGCCAGTATTCCTTGGTGTAGCCAGATTATTTTATCTTGAAAGTTAGCATCTTCAAATCTTTCTCTTCTCCATCTTCACATGGCCTTTTCCTCAGCCTCCCTTTTAGAAAGATCCATGTGTTTGCATTTAGGGTCCACCAAAGTAATCCAAGATGATATCTCCATCTCCAGATCCTTAATTACATTTACAAATACCTGTCTTTTTTCCATGTAAAGTAACATTCACAGGAATTAGGATTTAGATGTCTTTTGGAAGACCATTTTTTTTCACATTTTCAGTCAAATGTTATGTTTTAAAAAGGCAACAGATCAACATTATAATTCATTATAATTCATTCTAAGTAAGAATTCAACAATGTAGCCCAGCTCAGTATGGAGTGAACAAGGTTTTCAAAAAACTGTCAAATATGTCATTTTACCCAAATAATCACTTCTACAAGCCTTTTGTTGAGTGAAATCATAAACTAAAACTAAAGATTTATTGCTGTGAAAAGAAATACCTGTAATACTAATACAGTAGTATGAATCTTGGATATTAGGTATAACCATTTGAATCAAGTTAAGAAGTTAAAAATGTAGCAAGAAATGTGTGTGTATCTCTATGTGTGTGGCAGGGGTAGTGAAAATTGACAAGCTAGTTGACCCAAGAGCAACTGAAATATCTAACTTGTTCAATAAAGAACAGACATGATATCAAACCTACATTTTTCAGCAGGCAATTAAAAATGACAGTTTCAACAGTCCACAAACTCATACATATTTTTCAAACTTTTTTTAATGTAGAAAGAAAGTAAGTATGTGAAAAGAGCTGTTTTTCTTCAGCTCACTTTCAGCACCTAAAGGATAGAAAAACATCTGTGACTATCACAAATGAGAACAAAATGAATGTCATTGGAGTCAGTTATATTTCTCCTTTGAGATTTATAAAATCTATATGGAAAGTTGATCCTATAACAAATTATATTGTCATAGTTCTGATTTAATTTCCTTTAAATTCCTTTAAAATATTTTTTTAAGTTGTTGTAAAAAAATTTTTTTTGTGATACTGAATCTGATTCCAGTTCTTTTTCATCATTTAGTATACTGGCCACCAGTTCTAATCAGGGCGAAAAAAAACCTCTTAGAAAACTCTTCATTATGATAGCACATTCAGCAAAAATAACTGATATGCAAGCAAACCATAGAAGGTGCATCTTTCCAGAAAGCACATTTTGTTGATTGTTCACTGAATATTTCTCATAGTGATTCTTGATGAAAGCCTCTTTCACTCTTGTGAGCATGAGTGTATAGTCTCACTAGTATGCAGTTTCATATCCTTGGACAGGAAGGCTGGCTCACAGCTAGAGAAAAGGCCAAAGCCTTTAATTCCTGAAAAGCCTTACATTCCAGAGTAGGAAAGCACTTTTCCTTTATTTTTTTAATTTTAATTTTCATTATTTTGATACTTAAGAATGTGGCAGAAATGTATGCTAAGGTAGCCCAGTCAATCCTCATTTATTTATTTTGTAAATTTGGTCTCAGAACATTCTGTAAGAGACATTTTGCAAAAACCGCTGCTAGACAGGCTTCCTTTGCAATTTCTGACACTGGGCTCTTGGCTACCGAGTGACTTTATCTAGCTTTGATTACTGTTGACATGCTACAAGGTTAGATTCACTGGGCCATACTCCCAAAATTGGTTGCCTTTTATATGGTGGTATTGGAGCACTGTGATAAAGCTATCAAGATTGGAAACATCCAGGGTACCTGGGTGGCTCAGTCAGCTAAGCGTCCAACTCTTGATTTTGGCTCAGGTCATGATCACATGGGTCGTGGGACTGAGCCCCACCCCAGTTGGGCTCCGTGCTCAGTGGGGAGTCCACTTGAAGATTCTCTCCCTTTCTTTCTCCCCCCACTTGCTCTCTCTCAAATAAATAAATAAATCTTTTAAAAAAGATTGGAAACATCCAAGCAAAAGTCATGTACTCTAATTTCTTTATTGGCAGTATAAGGGAAGATCTGATTACATCCCATACAATGTCACCTAAAATCTCTTTTCGTTCTCTTTCCTAGCTATGTTATCCAGACATTGATTAGTTTCCACACTTTTATCTGTCCCAAAGAGAAATAGTGATATGGAGCTTGATAATCAGGGTAAAAATTCTCTAGGTACCAAAAGAAAGGTTAATATTGTAGTTTGTGCCTTAGACCAAGTCTTGTTGATATATCTGTATAATCTATCTTTGTAATACCTAGGGAAACTATATAGAAAAAATTGTTGACTTCATCTATCCAAGCTCTGTGAGTCATCTGTTACTTTTATTGATAATCTGTCCTGTGCTCCTAGATTGCTTTAACAAAGTGGCTTAAACAACACGAATGTATTTTCTCACATTTCTGGAACCTAGATGTCTGAAATCAAGGTGGCCAGGGATCATGCTCCCTCTGAAGGTGCTAGGGAAGGATTTGTTCCAGCCTTCTCTCCTAGGCTCTGGGAGTTCTTTGGCTTGTGGCAGCACAACTCATCATCACATGGCCTTTTATGTATGTTTCTCTCTCCAGATTTTCTCCTTTTTATAAGAACACCGGTCATATTGGATGAGGACCCATCTTAATGACCTCGTTTTAATTTGATGACCTCTATAAAGACCCTATCTCCAAATAAAGTCAGAATTTTAGGTATTGGAGGTTGGGACCCCAATGTATCTTTTATGGGGAGACAAAATTCAGTCTTTGTATTTGAAATTAATTTTGACTGGATAAAAAAATCATTATTATATATTGATTATATATATATTTTGATATATTGATTATGTATATATATATTTCTTTTTGGCTTAAAAATTGTTATAAAATATCTGAAGACCTTTGGTTTTTTTATTCTCCTGTAAGTTATTTGGTCTTATTTTCCTTAATGTGTAAGAGATTGTTTTTTCTTTAAAAACTAATAATTTTTACTAAGTTATGTCTTAGTGTTGGTTATTCTGGTTTGATTTTTCCCAGGCATGCCATTCACCTTATTACTATCTAGGTTCAAATACTTCTTATTTTTAATTTCAGTGACATCTTCTCAAATAATAATTTTTAGCAAATGTTCCATTTCCTTGTTTTGCTTTTTCTTCTACAGGAAATTTTATCATATCTATGTTGGATATTCTTTCCCTCTGCTCTTTATTTGTGGATTTTAATCTTGTTCTTAATCTCTTCTTTGCATTCACTTTTTTTTTTTACATTTATATGCTATAAAGTTCACTATATTTGGTGTACAAACCAAGTTTTGACAAGTACATACTGTCACGTAAATTTCTCTACAGTGAAGGCCCAAACTAGCTCCGTCACCCCCAAAACATTTATTCCTGTTTCCCCTAGCCCCTGGCAACTACTCTTTTCTATCTCTGTGAGTTTGCCTTTCCTACAATATCATATAAATGGAATCATATGGTAGCCATTAAATTCCTTTTTATTTTAAACTTCTTCCTAATTTTCAGGCTGTATTTCCCCTACGACATTTCCATATTTTCTCTCCCTTGTGTCAATTCTTGTCTAGTCTTCATTAAAAATTTTTTTTTAAAGATTTTATTTATCTGAGAGAGAGAGAGAGAGAGAACAAAAGCAAGGGGAGGGGTAGAGGGAGAGGAGAGACAGACTCCCCGCGGAGCAGGGAGCCCAACACAGAGCTCCATCCCAGGACCCTGAGATCATGACCTGAGCCAAAGGCAGACACTTGTACAGTCGCTGATGCTGCACAGGCCTTGCAGTTGTCGGTGGATTGTTCTGACCATTTATACCTGTAGGTTTGTATGGATACTTTATGTTCTGGCTCATATTTTGCTAAATAGTATATTGTCCATAGATTTTTGTTTTATTATCTGAATTTCTGTGTGGATTCTCATGGGGGAGATTTGGGGATTTTCAAAAATTAAGGACCCATAGTGGAAGATTTGAGCCCATCTTTTTTCAGTAAATGATAGAAAAAAAACAGACAAAAAATAAGTAGACAAGATTTTAGCAACATAATAAAAATGGTTTAATTAACACACAATTGAACTCAGTAGCAAATAATGTCAAAATACACATTCTTTTCAAGTACACATTGAACATTAAAAAAATCTTCTTGGCCATTAAGCAATTATTGTCAAATTTCAAATGATGTAGAGCATATCCTCTGACTATAATGGAATTAGGCTAGAAGTTAATAGCAACATAATAATTTGAAAATCCCCATCAGTTTGAAAGTAATAAATATATTACTAAATAACTTAAGAGTTAAAAACTATTATAGAAATTAGAACACATTTTGAAATTGAAAGATAATGAAAACACATACATATCATGACTTGTGGGATGCGGGTAAAGCTGGTCTCAGAAGGGAATGAGTAGTATACATTATAATTTCTAATGTATGTGTTACAAAAGAAACAAGGCCAATTATCAATTAGTTAAATGATCCATCTGATGAAACTTTCAGTTTGTATTTCA